TGGGTAAATGAATATACCACAGTGACCTACTCGACGTCACGAACGTCAACATATTTTTAAAATAATTTTTGGGCTTGTCACGGGCCCCCACTCACAGGGACAGGAACGGGTCCACGTGGCCCCCACGCGCATCATCCCCTACCTCCAGTCGCCGGAAAACTCGCCGGCACCGGAAACTGGGCAGACCTGTAATCGGTCTTTTCTCGCTCGTTCTCAACCATTTTCCATGAAATTTTCACCAAAACTTCACAAATTATGAGAGGAAGAAGGCTATACCTTTAAAAAACTCCAAAACCTTTGAAATCACGTCGGGAAATTTCACCAAAACCGGCCACCTTCGAACCTTGTGATCCCGACGTCCAAAACTTTCCAACGAACGTTCCCGAGCTTCGTGAGAACCTCCTAAAGCTCACTATGAGCTTGGATTGTCCTAAAAACAAACCAATACAAAGTTCATGAATAGTGCCAAACTCGGTGCTTGTGATTTCAACGTGAAATCGAAAGATTTCTTATCTGAAAGGGGTGTGGTTGAGTTCGTAGAGTCCTCACGAGCACGATGGTACCTTCAAAACCTTCGATCCGTGCTTGGAGGCTCGATGGTGAGTGTGTCCGTACGGTTTAGAGAGGGAGAGAGAGTGAACTGGGAAAAGGAGGGACAGAGAGAGCACGGGGAAGGAGAGAGAGAGGTTTGTCCCGTGTGGTCCAACCAAAACAATCCAAAAATCCAAAATCCTTTAATCCCTAACCACACAAAACATACATACCAACTTTTAATCCAACTTAAATTATTTCCCAAAAGTTTAGGAATGTATGTATTTAGACCAATAACATGTCACACACACATACCTTAGTAATCGTCAAGGGTACTTTCATCATTTCACAACCTCGATAAAAAAAATTTCGGGACGGGCTGTGACAGTCTTCCCTCCTTATAGAATTTCGTCCTCGAAATTCATACAAGCAATCAATCCACTTAATATTCTTAAAACAACCTCGGGTACATCTCCCTCATTCGATCTTCCGTCTCCCAAGTAGCTTCTTCCACTGAGTGGTTCCTCCACAATACTTTTACCAAGCTTACTGTCTTATTCCTTAGATCCTTGTCTTTCCAATCCAAGATAGTCACTGGTTCTTCATCATACGTCAAATCCGGATTAATCTCCAAAGGTTGAAGAGGAATCACATGTGAAGGGTCTGAAATATAATGTCGAAGCATCAAGACATGAAACACATTATGTACCTTAGATAACTCCAGAGGCAACTCCAATCTGTAAGCCACTTCACCAATCCTCTCAGTGATCTCATAAGGTCCTATGTACCTAGGACTTAGCTTGCCTCTCTTTCCAAATCGCACTACACCTCTCCAAGGTGACAACTTCAAGAATACCAAATTACCCACATCATAAACTCGATCAGTAGCATGTCTATCTGCTAAACTCTTTTGTCGATCCTGGGCCGCTTTCAGGTTAGACTTAATCACCTGAACATTTTGAGTAGTCTCATCCACAATCTCTGGGCCCTCTAGCACTCTTTCGCCGACCTCTGACCAACATAACGGCGTACGACAAGCTCTACCATAAAGTGCCTCAAATGGTGACATACCAATGCTCGAATGAAAACTATTATTGTAGGCAAATTCCATCAAATCTAGGCGATCATGCCAAGAATCACCAAACTGTAACACTGAAGATCTTAACTTATCCTCTAACGTCTGAATGGTCCTCTGATTGTCCATCGGTTCGAGGATGATAAGCAGTGCTGTAAAGCAATTTCGTACCAAGAGCTTCCTGAAAAGCTACCCAGAACTTAGAAGTAAATCTTGGATCTCGATCAGAAATAATATTCACTGGAACTGCATGATACTTTACAATCTTCGTAATGAACAACTTAGCCAATTTATTCAGAGGATACTTTTCTCTCACTGGAATGAAGTGTGCTGACTTAGTAAGCTGATCTACAATCACCCAAATACCATCAAATCCATTTCGTGTACGTGGAAGCTTATACACGAAATCCATAGTTATATTTTCCCATTTCCACTGAGGAACATGAAGTGGTTGCATCCGACCAAAAGGCTTATTTCTTTCAGCTTTGACTTGCTGGCAAACAATACACCTACTTACATACTCTGCATTTTCCCTCTTCATACCCGGCCAATAACAAAATGGTCGAATGGTATGGTACATCTTAGTCCCTCCTGGATGCATTGCATAAGCCAAACAATGTGCTTCATCCAAAATTTCCTTATTTAATTCCTCATTATTCGGCACATACATTCTGTTTTCCTGCATAAGCATGCCATCTGATTCTCGAATCCTGAGGTCTTTCTTTTTCCCTTCATTTCTTAATTGAATCATTTCTTGGATTTCTTCATCAACCAACTGAGCTTCAAGTATATGATCGACTAAAACTGGCCTGACTTGGAAACTAGCAAGAAAAGCTTCTCTTTGATCTTCTAACTCCAACTTTACTCCAGTAGCTCTCAAATCTGTGAGAAGAGGAACACGACAAGCATACAAAGCATTGAGTTGACCTTGAGGTTTCCTACTCAGTGCATCAGCTACCACATTTACACGACCCGGATGATACTCAATAGTGCAGTCATAATCACTTAGTAACTCCATCCACCTTTGCTGACGAAGATTAAGATCATGCTGAGTGAAAAGATACTGAAGACTCTTATGATCTGTGAAGATCTTACACTTCTCACCATAGAGACAATGCCTCCAAATTTTCAAAGCAAAAACAATGGCTGCCAACTCAAGATCGTGAGTAGGATAATTCCTTTCATGAATCTTCAACTGCTGATAAGCATAGGCAATCACTCTATTATGCTGCATCAAAACACATCCCAAACCATTCAATGAAGCGTCACTGTAAATCTCAAAGTTACCACTATCATACCAATACTGGAGCATGAGTGAGGCAATATTTCAACTACTGGAAACTTTGCTCACACTTCTCATCCCACTAGAACTTAACATCCTTCCTGGTTAACTTTGTTAGTGGCAAGGCAATCATAGAAAAATCTTGAACGAACTGTCGATAATAACTTGCTAGACCAAGAAAACTCCGTACCTCAGTGACGGTTCATGGTTGTTCCCAATTCTCCACAGCTGCTATCTTTTGAGGATCTACTTGAATTCTTTGTGCCGATACTACATGCCCCAAAAACGCCACTTCATTCAACCAAAACTGACATTTGCTAAACTTGGCATACAATTGATGCTCCCTCAATTTCTTTAATACCAAGTTAAGATGTCGAATATGATCTGCTTGAGACTTAGAGTATACCAGAATATCATCGATAAAAACAATAACAAACCTATCAAGATATTGTTGGAATACTTCATTCATTAGCCTCATAAAAGCTGCAGGTGCGTTAGTCAATCCAAATGGCATCACCAAAGATTCATCGTGTCCACAACGGGTTCTGAAAGCCGTTTTAGTTACATCATCCTTTTTAATCTTCAACTGGTAATAGCCAGATCTCAAATCAATCTTAGAGAACACACATGCACCTTTAAGCTGATTAAACAAATCATTGATACGAGGCAATGGATAATGGTTTTTAATCGTTACCCGATTCAATTGCTTATAATCAATACATAATCTCAAAGTTCCATCTTTCTTCCTTACAAACAACACTGGAGCTCCCCAAGGTGAAGTACTAGGTTGAATGAAACCTTTATCAGTTAATTCCTGTAACTGAATTTTCAATTCTCTCAATTCAGCTGGAGTCATTCTATAGGGAGTCAAAGATATAGGATCCGTACCTGGAAGCGAATCAATCGAAAACTCCACATCTCTGTCTGGTGGCAATCCAGGCAAATCGTCTGGGAATACATCAGGATAGTGCCTGACTACTCCAACTTGCTCCACACTGCTAGGACCAACATCATTTAACACCACATGTGCTAAGTATCCTTGACAACCTTTCGATAACAACTTCTTTGTTCTCATGGCATAAATAACACCATGTCTCACCCCACTTCTTTCACCCACAAAAGTAACCTCTGGTAGTCCAGGACGACGAAAAGTAACTAATTTCCCGTAACAATCTATATGGGCATGATTATAATGCAACAAATCTGCCCCTAAAATCACATCAAAGTCCACAATATCTAACGGGACAAGATTAGCTGGCATAACCACTCCATCTACCATCACTGGACACCCTGGATAAACACTATCAACATAACACTTGTCCCCTCTAGGCATAGCAAACTCTAAATCAAATCCTAGAGGTGTAGGGTGAAGTTGGGTCATTTGAGCAAACGTATGAGAAATCACAGAATGTGTAGCACCACAATCAATCAAAACTCTAGCAAAATGACCAAGAATATTTAATGTACCCATAATCAAATTTGGATGGTTCTGAGCATCCTACAATGAGATGTGGTTAACACGTCCCTGAGCTTGCTGTCGTCTACCACGACCTCTGCTGCCTTGGTTACCTCGCCCCTGAGAAGTATGCCCTTGTCCTGTCTGGCTGATTGCCTAGACGGTCCTACACTACTAGCAGCAACCTCTCCCTGTCGGGGCTGACCTCCCTGATGCCACTGAGATCCACTAGCTGGCATGGAAGCATAAGAAGTGTAACCTCCAGGGTCTTGGGAATACCCAGTCTGATAATAAGGATCCTGGGGATACTGATATTGTCCAGAAGCATAGGGAGGGGTATCACCCTGGTAGTGGTAAGCACCACCACGACCCATCTGGCCATAACTGCCTGATTCGAAATTCTGCTGAATCGGCGCTGGGGGTGGCATAGCAGACTGCTAAGATCTCTGCTGACTCTGGGAACACTAAGCAGCCCTATGACCCATCTGTCCACAAGTGTAGCAAGCACCACTTCTCCTACACTCTCCATGATGCCTGAAATTACAACGGCGGCACAATGGAGCACTAGAATCACCAGCACCACCAAAATCTCTCTACCTCTGAAACCTGGGTCCACCAGCAAATCTTCCACCTCTCCTCGGGCCTGTGATACTAAATCATCCACTGGAAGAACTCGAGCTCGCTCCACTTTTCTTGAAACTCTGTGTCTTACGGGGTCTCTGAGTGGAGATTCCTTTACCCCTATCATCCCTCTTCTGATTATCATTCTTATCTTCCTCATCCTTACTGTTACTAGGAAGGTTGTCGGAATCCTCCATCCGAACCAACATCTCAGAAAACTCATGATAATCGGAGCAGGGAAGCGCACTAGCAAAAGTCCGCCATTTCTTCTTAGTTCCCAACTTAAAACGGTGAAGCATCTCTGCCTGATTACCAGCTATATCAGGATCATAACGAGATAAGTCTGTAAATTTCCTGTAATACTCATGCGCAGACATATCCTTTTACTTCAACCGGGTGAACTTCTGCTTCGTACGATCAATGTATTCCGGATGAACAAATCTCTTCATAAAATTCTCTTTGAATACTTTCCAGTCAGCTGCCGTCTCAGGCGACATGAACCTAGTCTAATTTACCCACCAAGCTGCTGGTTCTCGTCCTAAAAACCAAGTGGTGGTCTCCACCCATCTATCTGCAGGGAGATTCCTCTGACTTTGCATCACCTAGAAAATCTTCTCAATATGGTCTAGCCACTTTTCTGCCCCCTCATGACCTTCATTACCCATGAAACGGTCCAATTTCAGATTATACATGGTCTCCAGGGGTGTTCTCTGAGGAGGAGGAGGACGGATTGCATTCTGAAAAGCATGAGCCATCGCTTCCCCTAATTGAGTTATATCAGGGAAATTAGACTCAGATGCACGGCGTGATTCCCTACGAGGCGGCATAATTCTGACAGAAGACACCAAAGATCATTAGAGCATTAACAATTATGCAGGATTACAACCTAGGCTCTGATACCATTCCACCCCTCTTAGGGGCCCGACGTCCTCGTCAGCACACTTCCGGCCAGGGATTGGCTCTGATACCATTTGTCACATCCCGGCTCGGGTCCACGACATCCCGGGCCCGTTCCACCACCGTGTCACCCATTGGGAAGTTGCTCGTGAGTTTCCAAAAACAAAACCGTGAGGGAATGGTAAGCCCAAAGCGGACAATATCATGCTACGGTGGTGGAACGGGCCCGGGATGTCGTGGACCTGAGCTGGGATGTGACAAATGGTATCAGAGCCAATCCCTGGCCGGAAGTGTGCCGACGAGGATGTCGGGCCCCTAAGAGGGGTGGATTGTAACATCCCACATCGCCCAGGGGAGTGATCCTTAAATGTATATTCCCATCCCTACCTAGCACGAGGCTTTTTGGGAGCTCACTGGCTTTGGGTTCCGTCGGAACTCCGAAGTTAAGCGAGAAGGAGGCTAGAGCCCTCCCAGGATGGGTGACCCACTGGGAAGTTGCTCGTGAGTTCCCAAAAACAAAACCGTGAGGGAATGGTAAGCCCAAAGCGGATAATATCATGCTACGGTGGTGGAACGGGCCCGGGATGTCGTGGACCCAGGCCAGGATGTGACAAATAGAGATTGATTTTATTATGTGGATTCAACTGCTTTAATTGGTTTATGAGGGGTTTCTTCTAGCATGATCTAAGATTATTCATTTACTTCAAATATTTGACTTTTCTTTTATCAATTTATGCATATAAATACATTTAAAATGTGTAAATCGAGTGTAGCACGCCGTGATTTAAAAATGTCTTCTGCATGCGCTTGAGCACGTGCATGAAGGCTAGTAAAAGTATAAAATAAACTTTAAGTGTTAATGAATCTATCCTTTTGATGTGATATGCATTCTACGAAACTAATTTCAACTATCCAACCGTCAAACTTGTTTGTATATACTTCGAGATCGCATACGTAAAAAATCGCAAAAAAAAAAAAAAAAAGCAAACATTCAGAGATTAGCTAATAGGATGAATTTTTTTTTACAATTATAAATGAAACATCATGATTTAACGGTTATTTTAGCTCCGATTTTGATGTTTTCTTACCATTACACTCATCGACCCTATAAGAATACAATGAACTAATTTGATTGTCAATTTAAAATATTTACACAAGTGGACACAAAATCTTATGTTATACTTAATGAAAGTATTAAATAGTTTCTAAGTGTTTGTTGAATCTATCGTTTTGACGAGATATGCATTCTACAAAACTGGTTTCAATGATCCAACTGTCAAACTTGTTTGTATATACTCTGAGATAGCATGCATAAAAAATTGCAAAAAATAAACATTCCGAGATTAGGTAACGGGAAGAAATTTTTCGATGGTTATAAATGAAAAATCACAATTTAATGGCTATTTTAGTTTCGATTTTGATGTTTTTTACAACTACACTCCACAACCCTATAAGAATACAATGAACTAATTCTATCTTCAATTTAAATTGTTTACACTTGCTGATGCATAAAACCAGAGGTCTTGGAACAATGTAAATCCGACTGTGAATCTGCAAGAAATGTAAATAACACAAGATGTATCGTGGTTCACCCCAAGGTTTGGGCTACGTCCACACTGATATTGTATTTCTGAGGGAGAGAGAGCTCTGAATATGAGAGTGAGAGCTTTGAGAGAGCTTAAAGCTTAGGGGATGTGAGGAGGCTTTCCCGATTGTGAGGGTGAGGAAGCCCTTTTATAGAATAAGGGCTCCTCCCCTCTTTACATATTTGCCCCTTCCTTTATGACATAATTACATTTAAGTCCTCCGAGTATTTATACGAGGTCTAAATACGGAGGCCCTAAGTATGGTACAAACAGTAGTCCCCCAAGTCTTCAGTCAAGAAAGTTTTTTGCCTGGAGACTTGAAATTCAGTCCATGTGTGGGCCGAAGTAACTAGATGTCATCTTGAATTGATGCTCGATATGAGGCGGTGCCCAATCTGAAATGATGCTCAACTAGAAGTAGCACATGTTGCGAGGCTGCTCGGCTTGTGGCTTATGTTGCCTTGGTTGGCTCGGCTTATACGGAGTCCCTTTTATAAAATAAGGGCTCACTCCTCAGTACATGAATAATGGGTGCTCTTTAATGAAAGTGAGGGAGTCCCTTTTATAAAATAAAAGCTCATTCCTCAGTACATGAATAATGGGCTAGAGTTGATGCTCTCTAATGATGGTGAGGGAGTCCTTTTTATAAAATAAGGGCTCGCTCCTCAGTACATAAGCGATGGGTGCTTTCTAATGAAAGTGAAGGAGTCCCTTTTATAGAATAAGGGCTCGCTCCTCAGTACATAAATAATGGGCTAAGTCCCCCAAGTATTTTTCATGAGGCCCAATATATGGTACATAGTGTAGTCCTCCAAGTCTTCAGTTAATAGAGGCTGTTGGCTGGAGACTTCAAATTCAATCCATGTATGGGCTGAAATGGCGGTTGTTTGGAGGCGGTCTTTGTAGACCATGCACTGAAGCTTTGTAGGTGAAGCTTTGCAAGTTGAAGCTTTGAAGCTAGAGCTCTGTAAATGAAGCTTTTGAAGCTAGAGCTCTGTAAATGAAGCTTTTGAAGCTGGAGCTTCTGTAAATGAAGCTTTTGAAACTAAAGCTCTGTAAATGAAGCTTTTGAAGCTAGAGCTCTGTAAATGAAGCTTTTGAAGCTAGAGCACTGTAAATGAAGCTTTTGAAGCTAATTGACATGAGTGATGCTCATGTATAATTTTGGAGTACTGGACGTACTTTTGATCACCTGGTTGGTGATAGTAGCGGTAGGGTGCCGAATAAATTTGGAGTACTGAGCGTACTGTTAATCACTTGATTGGTGATAATAGCAGTAGGCTGCCAAATAATTTTGGAAGTACTGGCGTACTTTTGATCACCTGGTTGGTGATAATAGAGGGCCTGGCTCTTTTGGGCATATGGGCATTTGCCCTCCACATAACATTCCAGCCCATTTTTTTGGGCTTGCCCTTTTTTTTTTTTTTTTTTTTTTTACCCTCTGATGGGGTTTATACAGATGTCTTCGAAATATAAGAAAAATAAATTACATCATTCAAAAATAAACTCGACCCTCTGCTCGATGGGTCACGCCTATAATTCCCTTTTCTGCATGCCATCACCACCGTAATTATGTCTACTTCTTTTTATCTTCTTTTGCTTTCTGCTTCTTTTTCTTTTCCCTTTTGCATATGGCAGATAAGGAATGATAATAGAATTTAATAATAAGAAAGGGATCTTATCTCCGCTTTTGCTTTTCCCGTGGTATTCGCAGGAGATGGTGATGAGTAACCTCACTGCTTGCTCTGGCACAGCGTGGGGTGGTGCTTGACAGGCCCTACAGGTTTTTTGTGCAACTTTTGACAATGACTGTGCGACAATCGATCATGTGCTTATCCATGACAACTCTTTCTGCAACCACAGGATCCGCAAAGACAACAAACCCGAATCCACGAGCACGACCGGTTGCACGATCCCTCATGATCATAGCCTCCACCACCTCTCCATACTTCCTGAAATATTCCTTGAGCCGTTCCTCATCTGTGTCCCAGGAAATCCCACCAATGAAGAGCTTCCCATGATCTGGTTCCATCTTTTTCTTGTCCAAAATTCAGACAAAACCCGGATAGTGCTCTCTCTTTCATTGCACATAGGAATTTGAACAAGAACTTTCGGATAATTGCATCCTGGACATTCCAAATCATTTGATTTCAATGGAACCTCTTTAAGTTTTGGCTTAATCTTCTTAAACTTGATCCAGAAGCAACCTAAACACAGCAGCATCCGGTCGGCGGACTGGATTAAGAAGAAAGCAACACAGAAATTAGTCAAACCCTGAATTGCAGGAGCAATGTAGCCAGCCCGGAACTCCAACCACGAAAAGTAAACCGAATGAAGCCATCCTCTAATCTCCAAACTTTGTGGGATATGCAAATGCCATCCCTTCAAGTGAGCCATCAATTCAAAAGCCAGAAAAGCTAAAGCCATCACTAAGATCACCACAATAACCCTATACAAAATCCTCCCTTTCCCAGATTTCTCAATCTCCACAGTCCCAAAAATCAATCTTTTTTTTTATTGAAACAAACAATGACCAAACAATGTTTCCAATCCAAGAAACAAATCCAATTGCTTTATGGGCCTTGAGAAGCAAAACCCAAGTAAATTGCTTAGCATTTTTGCCTCTGTCCTTATCAACCGGCTTGAAAACTTCATTTGGACCGTTTATCTCCAGCACTGAGTATTAGGGTTCTCCATGTTTACCACCACTGGATTTCCCCAACTTGTACTCTCATTTCCCCACCACCTTGGAAAATCTAGACTTGGTACCATTATTTTGCTCCCAAGCTTCAAGCTTTTACTATTAAACCCATTCGAGGACTAGTAAAAAAGAATCAGATCTAACACTGCAACAACTTGACAAACACTAGTTCAAACCAAATGCAGCAGAGTACAAAGGCAGAGAGAGGTAGAGAGAGAGAGAGAGAGAGGAGGGGGCGGAGCTGCAAAGATTAAGGCTTTGGATTTCTGCTTTCTTCTAGTTGCTGTTGTGAAGGTTTGTGCCCATTTTCAACCATGACTAGTGCCTGTAGGCTGCAGGAGAGAAACAGAGAGACAGAGAGATATTTTGAGTTTGGGTTTTGGGATTTTGATTTCTTTGATCCTCAAGTATGGATTCAGATTGGAAAATGTGCTAGTACTGACTACGACTGAAGGGAAAGAGAGAGAAAGGTTACTGGGTTTCTGAGTTTTTTGTGATTTTGATTTTGCAGATTTTGCAGATTCACGGTGGAGGTGAAAAAATGAAAGAGAACCGACATAGTTTTTTTGTGTCGTTTCCCACAGACGATACCAAATGTTGATGCACAAAACCAGAGGTCTTGGAACAACGTAAATCCGACCGTGAATCTGTAAGAAATGTAAATAACACAAGATGTATCTTGGTTCACCCCAAGGTTTGGGCTACGTCCACACTGATATTGTATTTCTGAGGGAGAGAGAGCTCTGAATATAAGAGTGAGAGCTTTGAGAAAGCAGTTTCACGAGTGCGCGAGGAAAACCAAATAATTGGGAATTCTATATTTTAATATCCTCCAAGAGAGATGAGGGTAGGAGGCAGCTATTGCAATTTGGTTTGCAGTGTCTGCTTCCCAGACTGTTTTTGTTATATAGAAATACTTGTTGATTTTGCGCGACGAAGATCCTGTCACCTAGAAAATTACACGATGGACTAATCGTGTTGCGCAAAAGATCCTTTCGCAATGGAGAACAATAACGTCGCGCATAACCCTTTGCGCAATGGAGAATTATAACGTCGCACAAAAACCCGTTACGCGACGGACCAACTGCGTTGCGCAAAGACCCTATAACTTCGAGCAAAAACCCTTTGCGCAACGAAGAACTATAACGTCACTCAAAAAACCCTTTTGCGCGACACATTTAGTCTGTGATGCAATTTTCTGGCACCAAACCAAGATTTTACCTCTTTTTTTCAAACATTACGCGATGAATGAGTACCTTCGTCGCACTAAAATAGTTTGCGCGACGGAAAGCTTCATCCCCTAACAGGCCATCGGGCAAAACGTCATTACGTGATGCTTCTTTGTCAATGTTTTTGCCCACATAATATGTTTCGTTGCGCAAATGTGTTTTTGTACTACCTGCTTATTTTTTCAGCTAAAAATCACCCTCAGTAAGTTTTGCAACCCAATTACAGTAGCAAAATAATGAAACGATAATTACAATTACAATGCACAAGAACTCAACCCAATAGCAAAAAGTAACTAGAAAAAAATAAAAAGCTAAGATAACCTTGTTAGAAGTTCTAGTAAAGCATACATGCTGCAATATACTATTCAATGCTCTTCGTTGTGGTAAGCATAATGTGGAGGTTGAATGATGCATATATCTGGGTGGGGAGTTTGAATTATAGACGTATTGGGGTGGAGATGATTGATAATAGGAATACTGGGGAGGGGATTCAGTACGATGTGTTGCAAGTTATATATTTATATATTAGTTAAAGTGTAAATAGTAGTCTGTTGTCCCACATTGACAAAGTACATATATAATCCCAATTGTAATTCCTATATATACTCCACTTTGGAGATTAATGAATATACAAGAAATTCCCAAATAATATCATATATATTTTTGGTATTTTACCATGTTTAATTCAACTTGGCATTAGAGCAGTTCGCTCTTGGTTTTGTGCCCACTTTTCTTAGTATTGTGCAAAAAAAAAAAAAAAAAAGGTGAACAGTGTCGTGCTACAGTACATCGCTATAGTGTCGTGAACAATGCATTGCTGCATTGCCTAAACAGTGATCCTGCTACAGTATTCTGGTGAATTGTCTTAATTACGCTGCGTATCTTTTATGTCTTTATTGTTTGTGTTTTAGCTAAATGGCTCAATATAATCATAGTGTTGTTATGCATCTTGGTGGAACAAATATATGGATAATTGATACTGGGGCCACCCTAGAGTGTTTGATGAGTTACATGACTATGTTCGTGATTCGTATATTACTAGTGCAAATGGAGCATCTTCCCCTGTGAAGGGTGAATGCGCTATCTCTCTCACTCCGACCTTATCACTGGTCCATGCTTTACTTGTTCCTGATGTTAAGTGCAATTTTTTGTCGGTAGGAAAACTATTTGATACCTTATATTGTTTCGCTCACTTCTACCCCACGCATTGTTATTTTCAAGACATTCAAACTTAGAAGATAATTGGTCATGATAAAAGAATTAGGGGTTTGTACATCTTGACTATGGATGATATTGTTGCTTCAGGTTCAAATAATCATCAAGTTCTAAGTGCTAAAGTGGATGGCAAACATCAAGTTTGGTTGTGGCATCGATATTTGGGACATCCATCATTTAGTTATATGAAGCATCTATTTCCTTCTTTGTTTCGCACTTGTAGTGATTTAGAGTTCAAGTGTGAAACATGTGTCATGGCTAAGAGTCATCATGCTTCCTTGCCCATAAGTGATTCTAAAGCTACTTTGCCATTTGATTTGATACATTCTGATGTGTGGGGTCGGGCAAAGGTTACTTCTAATGGATTTTGTTGGTTTGTTACTTTTATTGATAACTGTACTTGATTAAATTGGGTGTTCTTGATGAAGAATAAGAGTGATGTCCTTTTACTTCTTCAAAAATTTTGTGCAATGATTTCTACTCAATTTTAGACCAAAGTTAAGGTCTTTAGGTCTGACAATGGAGGAGGTGAATCACACTTTGGCATGTTTTTTTTGTGATCATGGTATTATTCATCATATGACTACTCCGTTTACACCCCAACAAAATGATGTGTCTGAACGAAAAAAAATCATCAAATAATGGAGGTTGCTCGCTCCTTGATGTTGGATAAATATGTTCCTAATCATTTGTGGGGTCATGCTGTTTCGGCTGTTGTGTACTTGATAAATCATGTTCCAAGTAGGGTTCTTGATTTTCACACACCGTTTGATGTGCTACAAAAACACCATAGGTTTGAGTCCCACATTGGCTATACAAAAAGAGAAATAATAGTTTAAATATCATAACTTCACTCCAATTAACATCGAGGCCTTTGTGATAAACCCCACACATGACAAATTGTGCATGTGGTAATTACCAAGTTGGGGACAGTATCGGTGTTGTTGGAAGTGGTCCTTGGCTCATCTCTCTGATAATTCTACATGGTATCAGAGTCAGGGAACGGGCCCGTACGTACTACCACATGATGGATGGGTCCTCTTGGCCCTGCACGATGATGATGGGTCCCTTGGCCCCTTGTGTAGGGTGAGTTCCCTTGGCCCCACGTAGTCACCAATGTGTGGACCTCCCACGTGGGTCCTACATGGTATTAGAGCCAAGGAGTGGGCATGTACGTACTGCAACGTGATGGGTAGGTCCTCTTGACCCGGTGCGATGATGGTGGGTCCTTAGGCTCCATGTGTAAAGTGAGTTCCCTTGGCTCCACATGATTACCAATGTGTGGACCTCCCACATGGGTCCTACATGGTATCAGAGCTAAGGAGTGGACCTGTACGTACTGCAACGTGATGGGTGGGTCCTCTTGGCCCCGCGCAAGGGTGAGTCCCCTTGACTCCACGTGGTTGCTAATATGTGGACCTCCCACGTGTGACCCACTAATTGGGTCTCATATGAGTGGGCGTGTTGAGTCCCACATTGGCTATACAAAAAGAGAAATAATAGTTCTAAATATCCTAACCCCACTTCAACTAACATCGAGACATTTTGTGATAAAACTCCGCACCTGACAAATTGTGCAGGTGGTAATTACCAAATTGGAGACGGAATTGATGTTGTTGGAAATGGCCCTTAGCCCGTCTCTATAATAATTATACATGATGGATATAATGGGACGGAGCGGGGGATTTACTTGTTATGGGAGTGGCAACTCGAGTTTGCTGTTTATCTACTCTAACTTCAACAACTCCTGCACCTCCTCAAATGATCGCTCCTCCTCAAACGATCGGAAAATAGGGTGCAAGTACGCATCAAAAACACCATAGGTTTGAGTCCCACATTGGCTATACAAAAAGAGAAATAATAGTTTAAATATCATAACTTCACTCC